CTCAACATCCTGCAGACTGAAAAAAGCTTGCCAGAACAACTTATACAGCTTCTGACATACTCTTGCCTATTCTCTTTTCCACAAGTCTGTCAAGATACAGGTTCTAGTTGCATTAACGGTTCCAGAGTGGGCAAAAATAACTTTCTTGATCCTTTCAAATTAAACACCCTCAAAATTGGAGACCAGGAATACTCCACAAAGAAGTAAATTCTTACTGCAGCTGTTGCCTTCACTAGGTCCTAGGACATTCCTAACCCCATTCCACAGACCTTCTGTAGTCCCTCCTCCTACCTTCTTCTCTTCTTCTGTGCTATATGATCGAGGTTGCTCAGTCAAAAGTCCCATCAAAATAACATCCTTCCTTCCCTGCTAACAGCCTCTAACTAGCCAGGCACTGAATCACTCTTTAACAGCTCAGTGTCAGTATGATTTCACTAGATCTTGGAGTGACTAATAATTAGACAAAGTTATATACAAGAATTAACATCAGACACAAGTTTTGTTATGAAATTGTTGCTATTCTTTCCTTCCTCTGTTTATGTTTGTCATGTGCTGTTCTTGATGAAAGAGCATCCAATTCCAGTAACGGTGGCTTTGTGTCAATTACTTGCTTCTCTTTTCCTCAGAAAGTACAGCTATTACTCCCTGTCATCTAAAATCCAGACTGCCAAAACCCCTTATTCTCTTCACAAAAATATATCACTCAATGAGAGTGAGAAAACATGAGAAAATGTTATAAGGAAACATGCAATGTCTTCTAAAGGTTTTCCTTTCAGTTTCTGTATTTAAAAACTTAAAAATTTTAGAGAGCAACTGTTTGCTTTGCTCCCAGATAGGACCAAACCTTTTAGTTCAGACTTCAAGCTCTTGACCTTGTCCTGCTTTCATCTCTGCCTCAACTGGTCCATTTATTGTTTTTTTACTTTAGTTTTCTATTACTGCATTTAATTAGGGTTAACTAACCAGCTGAAGCTCAGACTTTCATCTGCTCACAGTACTAGCATGCCACAAGCAATGTTGCACGATCAGTCCTTTTTTCTCAGTTTTCCTTAAAATTATGTAATTGCGTAATAGTTGATGACTAATAATTCAGAGCAATACATGCAAAAATAATACCTTGAGTAAGAGATTCATCAATGCTCTATACCGAGCAGCATTGCTTCCCTCACTAGCTCCGCAGACAAGTAGGTCAAATAGCCCCAAAAGCAGGTGCAGGTAGTCTTGGCTATCTTGATTCAGAGATTCGGGATTCCACCAAGTTTCCTCTAAAAAACACAGGTTAGAAATAAGACACCCGAGATGCGTATGAGCTACTTCAGAAACTAAGAGAAAACAGACATCTCTATTTAAAAGAAGACAATACATTTGGCTGATTTCATGTTCACAAGTACATAATCTTTACAGATCTAAAAACAAAGAAGGTTAAGGAAGCAAGGCTTGCTTGTTTCCCACAGCTTCTGAAGGCAAAAAAAAATAACCTTCCTTCTTCACTTCATTGATATAAAAGACAGTCAAAACCTTAACACCTACCTTTTGAAAAGGACAGAGGAGGTTTTAGGCCATTAATGAAGTTTCTCAATAAGAACAGGAACATAGCTGACTCCTCTGCATGAGCAGTCTGATCACTACTGAGCTTTTCTATATATGCAGTTAACAAGTCCTTGGGCACCAAAGTTTCATCTATTGTTTCAACAGACCAATTTAGGAGAGTTTCCTGTGAATGAAAATTAATTTTAATGTATACTGTCACAATTTTATCCAACCAAGACAGAAATTTAGCGCTAAAATTCAGCAATATTTAATTTCCAACCTCAAAAGAGGTATCTTTAGGAAGTGAATTACATTTCTAATTTCACCCTTAAACTTGCGTCTGCAGTTTCAAAACCTATGCCAGCTCTTACTACCATAATTAACAGTGTACATAAGGTACAGGTAGCAGAAAAGTAAAATACCAGTCTCTCTAAGATACCTCTTCAAACAGATTAGGAGTTCCTCACAGCATTTTGTGGACATTCAGTTTAATCCTTTCCTCTAGCTCTGTTCCAGCAACATAATCCATATCTTTCAGATATTTGTATATATAAAAATCCTTTAATGGAATAATCTGAGGTCAGAGTAACTAATTACCCTGTATTACTATGTGTGTGTAAGGGAGTGAACACACACAAACACAGCCCTGCTGACATGGGTTTCTTACATACACAAAAGAACGCTGTTTCAACAACAAAATTAATCAAGAAAAATGCAATGGGAAATATGGATAAAAATAAACGTAGCGGAAAGATGCAGAAATACTCTTTCTGAACATTGTTCCTGCTTCTCTGATGGCTCCTCTTTCCACCTCCATGTTACCTCCCAACAAGCATCAATACAACAGCTTATGGAGCAGCACAATAAACCAAACCCTAACAAATTCAGGAACATTTTCAATATTGTTGCAAGGACTTGCTTGAGGTGGCAATTCATAGAATCACAGAATTACAGAACGGTTTGGAAGGGATCTTCAAAGATCACATAGTCCAACCCCCCTGCCGTGGGCAGTGACGTCTTTCACTAGACCAGATTGCTCAAAGCCTTATTCAACCTGGCCTTGAACACTTCCAGGGATGGGGCATCCACAACTTTGCTGGGCAACCTGTTCCTGTGCCTCACCACCACCACAGCAGAGAATTTCTTCCTGATATCCAAGCTAAATCTACCCGCTTTTAGTTTAAAACCATTGCCCTTGTCCTAACACTAAAGGCCTTTCTACAAAGTCTCTCTCTATCGTTCTTATCGCCCCCTGCAAGTATTGGAGGGCAGCAATAACGTCTTCCTGGAGCCTTCTCTTCTCCAGGCTGAACAACCCCAACCCAGTCTTTCTTCATAGGAGAGGTGTTCCAGCCCTCTGACCATTTTCATGGCACTCCTCTGGATCTGCTCTTAGCATAAGCTCTTTTTCATACTCGACTGCATTTTTCTCTTTCCCCTGTTGAACAAGTCCATAAAACTCAATGACTAAAACCCCAATATTCCTAATTCAAACAATGACTCCACATGATGCCACGGGGTAGTCGGCAGAAACGCCGCAAACTTTGTGCCAAGCCCACAGCACTGAAACATTGAATCATTTAGTGGGATGGCAGCCTAAAGCTCTGGAGTTCTTAATTTTTTCATGCAGACTCACTAGAGTGATAAAACATAAAAACAATTCTTAATGGAAGCGTCTAGTACTGCTTCCAAGTGTGCGCTTTGCTTTGAAAAGAAATAAAGGCAAGATTTTTCAGTCCGCAAGGTTTTTGAACTTCTTGCTCTCAAATAAAAAAAGATTTCTCCACTACAAAGAAAATGCCCTCTCCAAACTGTTTACATCTTACCTCTGCAGGATCACAAGCTCTGAGATTTTTCATTTTTTTATCCAAGAAACGGAAGACTCTGATAGCCACTGAAAAATAACTTTCCTTCATCTGTGTATTGCAGCAGCACTGAACAAGCACTGAACCAATTATATAAGTAGTTACTTTCTGTTTCATGCTGTCAGATTCTGTTTCAGCAAGGATTATCAGATCATCAACCTTAGAAAAGGGAGTGGAGGAAAAACAACAAGTCTGTAAGACAGTGGGATGTCACTATGACTTTACACCATGTTTCATTTGCATGTCCAATTAAATCCCTGTTACCTTCTTTCATCTTTAACAAATCTCTGTCTTCTGTAATGATACCCTTTGAAACCTAAGAATGCACAAACACCTCTCTCTAGGAACTATCTACAGGTATACTTTTTTATTCTTCAGATTTTTTTTTCAGGAAACTAAGAATTACTGGAATTTAGTTACACTTTTTTTTATATATATATATATATATACTTGCCTAGCAGCTTGATAGAATCATAGAATCAAAGAATGGTTAGGGTTGGAAGGGACCTCAAAGATCATCTAGTTCCAACCCCCCTGCCATAGGCAGGGAAATCCTCCACTACACCAGGTTGCCCAAAGCCTCATCCAACATGGCCTTGAACACCTCCAGGGATGGGGTGTACGAAGAAGAGCACACCCAAAGTTATTCTATATCACATTTGTTCTATTACAGGTACCACCTGAAAACTAAGATCTCATAAGATAACGGTAACACGGTACACATACCATTTGCAATAGTAAGGAAGGATCCCCTGAAGTCATGTTTTCAGAAAACAGCAGAATCATCTTCTTGTTGGCTACTTCAATCAACTCTGCAGACTTGCTAGATTTAACTGCCTCTTCAAGAGCTATTCCAATGAAAAAAAAAAAAACTCATAGAGAATCCAGGTATACAAACCACATATTAAAACACTGGTGGCTCAATAATATTTAGAAACAGTCAGAAACATAATAGACAATTTTTTCACCTTTTCAAAGAGCTTTTTAAAGAACTCTATTTACACTCAGAGCGTAATAGCTTGTTAACAACAGCCAGTCTCCTTCAATAAGTATTTAGGTTCAATAAGCATGGTATTCTAAATTGTCACAACTTTATTTTTACCAAATTACCTACAATTAATGCTTTACCTTCTGGCCAACCTTTCAGTAAAGGGTGTAAGGAGCAGAGATCACATTCTGACAGACAAACAGCCATTTTCCAATCTGAAGATTTTGAATTCACATTAGTGATCACCATAAAAGGTAACAACTGCATTACTGCTTCATCTAGTAGTTCTTTTTTCTCTTTCAAAATCTCTTCTTTGACTAATATTTTTATTGCTCGCTCCAGAACCTTGTACCTAAAAAAGAACAAGTGATGTTGAATACCCATTGTTCAATCATACCAGCAACATTTCTTCGATTTGTTCTCCATTTTCCATGGCGATTTTCTGAACCCAAATAACAGTGAGAACAAATAAGGAACTCATGGGAAACAGTATGCAAATAAATGATAATTTGTCTTTGTAACACAGTATAGATATAGCATAACAAAAAGTATTTGAAGTGGAAAAATAGGTTTTAAAGTATTCTTTAGAGTCACATTTTTTAAATTTAACTTATACAGAAAGAAGGTAGACTGAAGAAAGGCACAAACATACCACTTTCCATCCTTTGAAAGATCAGCTCTCTGGAATATGTTCAAAAGACTTGAAACTACTAGTTCTGGATTGACTTGTTTCCTGAAAATCTGAAAAGTAATCAAGAAAAATAAATAAAAACATAATAAAAACCAAAATAATTTACCATATCATAATGGAAAATGCATCTGCTTTGCATCTTCAATGCGTTGAAACATAGATCAAACACCACTAATTGCATTCTTATTGATGACCATGTAATAAAAATATTACCAGAATAATAAGTTATAAGTTATAAGGCTGCCTAGTATGCCCTCCTGATGTGCTGAAGTATGGAGAATTTAATAGAATACAGAAATGTTTGGTAAAATTAACAGCAATAAGCAAAACACTTTATAATTGAATAATAATTGCTTTTACTTTACATAGCATCTGTATGACAAAAATATAAGGCACATTAACAAAGGATGCTAAAGTTTAAAGAAGCACTCACGTGCGTCTACTCCTATTTTCTAGTGATTGAGAATGAATGAACACACAAGACCAATTATACGACTGCTAATAATATTCTCCACTACTACTAGCAGAAGCAATAAAGACAGACTGTTACTCTAACTGGAAACAATCAGTACAATGCATACCAGAGACCTATCCAGTAAACCTGAGCTGGAGTTTAGTACTTTGCCACTATCAACTGATCAAATGACTCTCATGTGGAAAAACTCAACTGAGCACTTCTCACTAGCGTAAGGATCTGTCACTGCACCATTTTCCATCCAAAAGGCAGATGACATGGCTTGCGTTTTTATAGAAAAATGTAGAGTACACAGGAAGCGCACTTTAAATAATAATCAAAGATTATAATGTGCTTTAATAGCTACATAAAAAAAACATCAATAAATTCAAGTTAACCGCAAACAATTTGGGAAAGATCAGGAAGCAGAAATTTCGGAGGAATTGTAAGGAGGTAAACAACACAAGCCTCCTAAATTTGTGCTGACAAAAGCCACACACTAAGGACATGAGTAGAAGAAGGACAATTACAAAGAACAAATTTCAGACACACATATTTAAGATCAGCTAAAAATCACCTGATATATCAAAAGATACACACCTCCAAAGAACTGAGAGCAGACATTACAACATCTCTGTTGTCATCCTTGAGTCGACAAAAAATTGCTTCCTCTAAGAAAGACTGATCAAAGCCATCCTGAAAAAATAAAGGAAAAAAGAGACAAAAGAAAAAAAAAATCATTTGTTGGTAGCAAAATTTAAAAGCTTTTAATAATCTGAATCCTAGTACAAGAAAAGCAGTAAAATCATCTAAATTAAACCTCAAATAATAGGTGGACTAACTTTCAGTTACAAAAGAAAGAAAATCAGAAGTATTCATTAAGTCAGATTTTATGTTAGACTACAAGCAGCTTAATAAACAACATCTACATCCAGACTCCAGCATATGGGAAAATGGTGACAGAAGCCTACTGAAAACACCATGAAAAACAGTGAGGAGGACATATCAATAGTTTAACGTACCACTCATCTTCAACTGATATGTCTGGCAAATAGCTTTTTGAAGACATTATGTGTTAAGTCTGTTCTGTAAGTGAGAGATTCAGGACACAAACCTTTGATGTTTCAATAACATCTTTCAAATGCTGAAGAGCCAGGACCCGCACAGCTGGCTGAGGATGATTCAAACTAAGCAGAAGGGAGGTATCAGAGTCTTCCAGAAACTGAAATACAGATTTCAGAGTGACTCACTGCATGTTACAAATACTTTAAGTATATATAAGGGTAACAGGAGAAATTCTTTCAGAGAGTTTTTGTACCAGAAGAAAACCTGTATAATTCAGATCCGAAAAGTGTCAATTACTGAACAACGAAGTTGTGTAACCGTTTCATACTTGGTCTTCTTCACTTTGGCAGACAGTTTTTGGAATATAGCTTGAAAAGTGCAGTAAGCCACAGATACCTTTTTGTCCTGGAAAAGCACTACACTTATCTAAAGATTCTGAGAAAGCACTAGTGACAATGTCAGTGTGACAGAGCACAGATAGAAACCGTTAAAAAGGCAACCCTGCCACTCCAATCGTGTGCACTTATCTCGGGAACCTTAAAGGCTAGAAGGGAGTCATATGCCTTTGTTCTGCATGCCATGTTTTTTTGTTAATCCACTTGTTATTCAGTCACAGAATGCGTGCCTTTGTTAAATCAGTACAAAAATACATGAACCACTTCTTTATGTAGTTTATAAGCTTTTCCCAAGTGCTTTCAGTCTTTCAATCATTGCAAACAACAGTCATAATACTAACCATCTCTTAATAATAAATTCCTTGGACAGATCTGTTGCACTCATGGTTATTCTGTGTTAGGTTGAGTTTCAATTGCTCTTCAGAAATGCCACAGGAAGAACTCTGTAGTCACTCTATTCTTCCATGTTACTGACTGTAAACATTCATAAAATCAATGTAACAAAAAGGTCTGAGCCACCTTCTCTCAACCACAATAAAGTTGTTTGTCAACTTTCCCAAACCAGACACCTCTGAGACAAGACGAGACCTTGCTGGGCACCACTATGCTGCCATTATCAACCACTACAGTATAGGTAGTGGCCATGTTCCTAAGGAAAAATATTATTGATAGCAATTGGGGCAGGAGGAAATGTATAAATTTTAACCATGAAAAAAAGTTCACTCTCATAACTGTTCATGATAAACACAAACTTAAAAGATTGGATAGCTTTTGATTTTACCACAGTTTTGATCAAGTCCCAGCCCCCCCCCAAAAAAAAATCACATGTAACTTGGTGGGGTTTATTTTTGTGGGAATGGTAGAGATTTTGTTTAGAAAGAAGTGAGAGCAGAATTTTTCCAAAATATCAGCCTTCTAACAGTATAACCAGATAAGAGGATCACAAACTGAGCTTCTACCTACCTTGTATTTGCCACAGCTTAATGAAAGAGAAATAAATTGGTGAAAAAGATTTTGGTCAGCCTCATCTGTGCAATCTTGCAGATGCTTCTCCAACACAGAGTCTAAGGCTTTAGGATACCTGTCAACAGACAAAATCCCCAACGCTTTCCACAGAGCATTGCAGAAGAACATACATTTACTGGACAAATACAGGAAATACAAGGAAGACGAACACACACACACACTCATCTGAATCGGCTATTTTAAGTAGCTTCGCAAAAGCAATCAACCATTATGTCTTAACACAGATGACTGACATGCAGATCACTAGGATAAATAATGAGCAGAAAAGGTCATGATACATAGCAAACAGCTGTACAAAGCCAGTAGGTCTGTGTCCATGTATTACAGTAATAATGAAATATATAAGGACAGATCAGTAAAATAAAATTCGGATAAAGATTAGGAGTCAGTTATTTTTACTATATTTATCTGGGCAAGGATATTATGCTTACCACACCCAATAAGCCAAGATCATAGCTTACATCACCACCCTACAGGTTGTGGGTTTGACACAGAAAAATAGAACTTACTTTCTTTCAAGAAGTCTGATAAGTGGAAGTATCTTTTGATTGAGTGCAGCCATTTTGGTGGGATTAGATTCAACTTCTGTACCATAGGAGATAAACTCTTCAAGAAACTTGCTAAAATTACAAGCAAAAGAAAAAGCCACCATTTTTTTGGATAGTACAGTTTTCACTGATGTTATAAAGCACGCTGCTAAACAAGTTAGCATTAATATGCATTACTCATTGCAAGTACAGATTTGAAGCTTCACTCTGTCTCACGAGTGCTAAAAGCATGGCTCTTCTGGATTACTGACTGTTTCAGTTTCAACATCCAGGTCTGGAGTTAACATGAACTCAGAAAAACATGCTCATATAATGCTAATGCCATTGTCAGAAATTAGTTGTTATTAAACCAGAAATGACTGCAGACGAAAAATAATCAAAGTTAACTCACGAAGCCAACAGGTGATCTAAATCCTTTTCCAGTGGTATACTCTGAAGAATACCTTCAAGAAGTCTGATATAAATCTGATTCTCTGTCTCCTCAGATTCTTCTTGTTCTTCTAAGGACAACACGTAATCATAAAAGATGAACAATAGTTTGAGAATAGCACCCTCATACTGATTAAAGCTAACAGCGTGTACAGGCATCATCATGCGGTGAATCAAGCACACAACTTGAAGACCACAGTGTTCATCAATCACTCGCGCCAACTCTCTGGGTGCTGTTAGCAATGCTTCATACCAATGTCATTAAAATGCCAAAGGCTGTAGTGCTACCAATAAATTCAAGTAGGCTTTAGAATGTTCCATATCTGCTAACACAACCTGCGCCAGCAACTCCCTACAGCATTCCCTGGAGTGAACTGGGCCCTTTTCAACAAAAGAGCTTTCCCAACCATGACTTGGCAGTTACAAGTCCACAGTGCAAACAGAGTTACTAGTGTAGACACAGGCTACTACTGCATTCCAGCCAGCCTCACTGTCCTGGACAGTTCCCAGTCACATCTAATTCACCAGGTAAACACAGATCTCAAACTACATATGGACTACATGTAACTACCTAAAAATTATTTTGCAGTACTACCATACATCTCTAAGAGTCAGAAATTTTGCCCATCAAAATTGTTACTGCTGAAATACTGCAAATCAGCATCTAAATCGAAGTGATATAGATACAACAACGCCTAAAACAGCCTCCTCTGTAGGACCTGGAAAACCAAAAAGCAACACACACACAAAAGCTCAATCAAGTCTCCACGTGTATTGGCGCAGTTTTAATGGCAGAAGCAACTAAAATTTCACAGCTACGACACTGACCACAGCCATCTGTCCATAAGACTCAACAAAATTGTAAAAACGCATGCTAACTTACCCGTATCACTTTTCATTACAGTATGAACAAGGTGAGGCAACAGGTAATGCAGAAGAGGAGAGATATCATAGCCTGCTGAAAGGCCTTGTAGAAGTGTTACCAGTTCTGGGGTTTTGCACAGATAATTAAACGGCCTGCACAATGGAAAAGGGAAATAAAAAAAAAAAAAAGTATGCATGCTCATCGGGATTACCAACACTTCCAAAACATGCAGACTTCCTGTGGATTCAATTTTCCGCATCGGGTAACAGCCTCATCGTAAACAAATGCTGAAAAGATTCAAAGGGTTCCACTTATTGCCAGAGGTTTACTGGCACATTGAATATCCAAGAAGAAAACAGGGTACTGCCAGTTATGTCGCGCGCAGATGCTGCAATGGCACAGCGAACATACTGATGTTTCTGCGAAGTTGAGAGTACAAGAAAAAATACTTGTACGGATTGCATGAAGAGACACCCTCACATTGCAAGGAGTATATCTGTTACCCAGCTGCAGCAAAAGGAAAGGAGGAGAAATAATAGCTCAATGACAGGAGGTCCTCAAAGAGAGTAGAAGCAATATCTCTTCCTGCTATTAAAAAGTTTCTCTCGTCTCCTTTTACATCCACCTAGCATGCCTCTCCTCAGCTCCCCACACCATAGCTTTTAACCCGTTTACCTCTTCTATAACTGTGTTCAAGTATCTGGAAAAGTTAATGACTGTAGTTATCCCAGCAAATATTTATTCTATTGGAATACCCTTTGCCAGCAAGCAAACTCCCTGTAGCACACGGGACTTCCATCACCATGTTCAACTCCACATTAACAGCACTAGCTAACTGTCTCAGGGCAGAGAAGACAGATTAATGGGAATGAAATACTACATGTACTTCCAGAAGAGTACCTGACTTGTGGGACCAAAGAAGTGACAGCATAGAAGCACTTATATTCAGGTGTCAAACTACATGATCTCAAAGCTCTTCCATTAAAGGGACAGAACTCCTTTTTTTCCAAGCTATTCAAATAACCTCAAATTTGCACTACCATTATTAAGCTGGCTTCTCTTCCAGGATTCCCACTTTCAAGAAAACCTCTTACTGGCAGGGTTCAGTCTTGCATATTGACAGCAACCCTTTACTGAGGGAAGTGGCAGGACAGGGACCAAAAGATGACAGACTCGCACCAATAAGACTCCTTAGCCGCAGCGAGCATACAAATTTTTAAAATAAATCAAACTTTTGAAACCTTTAAAATGTCATCTACCAAAATTTCTGATAGGAAAGCATACCTTTAATGAGAAGATGGCTTCACTAGTGGTAAATCCTGCCTGACTAATTTGGTGACCTTCTATGATGAGGTTACAGCATTGATGGATAAGGGAAAAGCAACTGACATCATCTACCCAAACTTGTCCAAAGCATTTGATACTGTCCCACAAAACATCCTTGTCTCTAAACTGGAGAGACATGGATTTGACAGATGGGTGACTCCGTGGATAAAGAATTGGCTGGATGGTCACACTCAAAGAGTTGCAGTCAATGGCTCGATGTCCAAGTGGAGGCCAGGGATAAGCGGTGTTCCTTGGGATCAGTACTGGGGCCCGTGCTGTTTAACATCTTTGTTGGGAACATGGACAGTGGCATCGAGTGCACTCTCAGCAAGTTTGCTGACGACACCAAGCTGTGTGGTGTCGTGGACACGCTGGAGGGAAGGGATGCCATCCAGAGGGACCTTGACAGGATGGAGAGGTGGGCCTGTGAGAACCTTATGAAGTTCAACAAGGCCAATTGCAACGTCCTGTGTGTGGGGCGGGGCAATCCCAAGCACAAGTACAGACTGGGCAGAGAATGAATTGAGAGCAGCCCTGAGGAAAAGGACTTGGGAGTGCTGGTTGATGAGAAGCTCAACATGAGCCAGCAACGTGCACTTGCAGCCCAGAAAGCCGACCGTGTCCTGGGCTGCATCAAAAAAAATCGTGGCCAGCAGATTGAGGGAGGTGATTCTGCCCCTCTACTCTGCTCTTGTGAGACCCCACCTGGAATACTGTGTTCAGCTCTGGAGTTCTCAGCACAAGAAGGACATGGAGCTGCTGGAGCGGGTCCAGAGGAGGGCCACGAAAATGACCCGAGGGCTGGAGTGCCTCTGCTATGAAGACAGGCTGAGAGAGTTGGGGCTGTTCAGCCTGGAGAAGAGAAGGCTCCAGGGTGATCTTACTGCAGCCTTCCAGTACCTAAAGGGGGCCTACAGGAAAGCTGGAGAGGGACTTTTTACAAGGGCATGTAGTGATAAGACAAGGGGTAATGGCTTTGAACTGAAAGAGGGCAGATTTAGATTAGATATAAGAACAAATTTTTCACTCTGAGGCTGTTGAGGCACTGGAACATTTTGCCTAGAGAAGTTGTAGATGCCCCATCCCTGGAAGTGTTCAAGGCCAAGTTGGATGAGGCTTTGAGCAACCTGGTGTAGTGGAGGGGGTCCCTGCCCACAGCAGGAGACTTGGAACTAGATAATCTTTGAGGTCCCTTCCAACCCAAACCATTCTATGATTCTAAGAATAAAAAATTTCAAATTATCGAAGTGCAGTCTGAGCTTTTAAAAAGTGGGAAAACTCAATTCATGTGGACTTACTTTTTCCCAAGTTTGTCTCCTTTCTGAGTTTGCAGAAGTAGGTTCAAGCATGCCACCCCATCCCTGACTAATGAGGGCACTTTAGACAATGCCTTGCTTATCTGTAACATCAAGGAATGCACCAAGGAGGTCTCCACTGTCACTTTTACTGTCATCTGGCAGATTATCATGTATGTTGCAGCTCTGTAATCCTGTATAGAAGATTTCAAGCCCTAGGAAAATAGATAAAGATGGATTTTTAACACATACAAATAATAATAAAAAAGAGTACATTAACAAAAAAATCATTTTTATTCCAATGTCTGTGGAATCACACTACCTTCTTCTCCATGTGTAAACTTTTAAGAGAACTATAAACTCAGCTTTCGAGAAGAAAAAGCTGCCGTGCAGGGCGCACAAGTACAGAGGACACATTCATTAACTGTTGCTCTGTTCATTAACAGAGCAACGATCCTGGAGGAAAGAGGATATTAATGCAGGCTGTCCGCCCTGACTCCATTTCCTCATTGTTAGCACAAAAAGTCTTCAAGGCAAAGAGGTTCATTCAAACTGTGCATCCATTTCTCACAGCTCCATTCCTCATGCCAAGTACGAAGCAGAGTTCTTAAAGTGCTCATCTGAGGTATGAGAAAATGTTATTATTCATGGACCTTCACCTGCCTGAGGTTTCAAAGCAGGCTAAGAGTGGTATGAAACATTTCACATAGAACGTCCCTCTTAAACGTTATCTGCAGAAAGCATGTCGGCACAACACAGTACACTTCAACACACAGGGAGAAAGCTTTGTGTACCTTTTGGATGTACGGGAGCAGCATAGAGACTATAGCATCTGTTATCTTCTCTGTGGCTCCAAGAGCTGATACAATGGTGGAGGCATAAAACACCAGAAGAACTCTCAACTGAGCTGAGTTGCTAGGACACTCTGAAAAGACCTGGACCACAGAAAAATTAGTTGTTTGGACACCAGGAAAAGTAGAAAAACACACATATGGCATCACTCAAACAAGCAATATCTCAGAGCTCCAGCACGTAAGCTCTACCAGCTCCTGCTGGCACAACTGAAGTCATCAACTCCTCCTAGCAGTAACCCTCATCAGAGGTTACTGCTCCTCCTTGCAGACAAGGTAGCACGAAAGGGTGGTATTCCTCAGCTACTGTAGTTCATCGTAACACGGTAACCTAAATCACTTGTGATTTGGGTGTAATGTTCAACACTGGGAAATGGACAGCCAAGAAGGTGACTGGTGTATGTTTAACATTCCCTACTACATCCGTGGACAAGCCCTGTTATTGTGTGTCCTTTGCTTAGTTTGCTAGTACAGGCATTCCAGTTCTCTAAACAATTTGAACTGTCATACACCTTTTTTTTTGAGACTATAAAACTAGTTTTCTATCTGACATTAACCGAAAAAACAAATAAATCCATTCACCTTCTAACATTCTCAATTTTAAGTTCTCAGTAATATTTGAAGATATACATTTAAAACACCCATGAAAACCTCCAAAAAAGACACCTAAATTCAAAGCACAGTTACAAACTAATAGCAGGAATTACTTTATAAAAGAAATTAAGATAGTGAAGTCCTTTTAAGCAATACACTATCTTTAAGTAATACAGTACTGCCAGATTGTTTGGTCATGGCTTATTGCTTCTCGGCCACCTCATTACAAGAATTTCTAATAGACTGTCATCTAAAGAAATAATAAGAAAATAAATTTTCATATTATTTACTAATAAATTACTCCCTTTACTATTTGATATGTAATTCAAAATATTAGTAAATAGCGTAATGCTATACAAATAGAAAGATGAGGAAAACCAAGTGACAGCAAACAAATAATGTTCTAGAATAAATGTACAACCTTCACTGATTTTGCCACCAGCCTGCAGATGAAATCCATGAAATTCAGGTCTTTGTAGCAGTGTGTAATGACAGTACCCCTTGCCAGCGGGACTCCAGCTTTCTTCACATGGTGAAAAAAGTAAAATTAGAACTCTCTAGGGTAAAGTGAAGCACCCAAAGTAAAAATTAATACAATCTCTACATTAATCCCACCAATCAGTTAATATCATTTAAACTGAAATAAGTTATGGAAAGCCACACATCTCTCTGGAATTTTTTGTATCTACATTAAGACCGATGATGAATAGCATTACATAGAATCTATATTCAAATAAACATGTATTTCAGTAATTGACATATCTTCCTAGCAGTAGCAAATACTTGCACCTTAAAAGCATACTTTAACTTTGCCAAAACAAAGGGTAATTACAATCAAAGCTTTTTATGATTAACTTTATATTTAAACAAAGACAGCAGAAACAACAGGTGGGCATCCAGGCCCTATTCCTGCAACTAAATCTTTCAGTCTAGTCCCACAAACTAACCGCATGAACAGGTGGACCATATTCATAAACCTATTAGGAGTCAGCACATTTATTAATAAAGTCCCTCATGTTTCTCCCAAATTGCATCTGTTAAATACTTTACCCTTATTGGATCCATCCAATGCCATTTATGAGTTGGGCTTTTTATATTTAAAAGTTGAATAACCCTCACAAATAGGTTAGTCTCATGATACGGCAGAACACAACCAACCAAACTATCTTGATTGTAGAGATGGATGTGAAACCTAAGGAACAAACATATGTACAGGCAAAAATTATCTGGAAGTTCAAAACACCCAGCCATGTTCTCAGAACATCTGGTTTACTTGCTTTTAGCAAGACGAGAAATGGTTTGCCATACTGACTCAGACATGTGGTCCACCTACAGTCCAGAATCCCAAGGTGGCCACTAGCCCATATGTGCTAGAGTAAAGAAACAGCGTTAGCAATTTTTTTTCCTCATTCTCAATAATTTTAGGTCCCTATAGGACTTAAGATGATTATCTTAGTTTCTTCTGTGTAGATTTCAACATTAAAGCAGACATTACAATAATCTAGTATGAATTTCAGTATAATATATACATTAAAAAATTGTGATTCAAAGGTTATATCAACAAAACTGCCCACTCTTACATGGCATGAAAAATTACACTTTCTGCATCTGGACAGGTTAATTTATATAAATAAATACCACATCACTTCACAAAACACTTGGTTTGTTTTTTCTTGACACCTTTCTACATAACCTTGAAATAAGAATACTTAGCTCTTGTTATGTGATAATACAAGGGCATGTCACCATGGTTCACAGTTAATATTGAAAATTAGCTATTTTACACAGCTTGTTTCTAAAAGAATATTACATAAATGCCTCTCTAGGTCCTCTATAAGATGGCTAGAATCTATAAGATTGCTTTTATATGATTGTCTTAATAGATGAAAATTTTCACAGAAATTTATCAAAAGACAAAAATCCAATTGCCAAAGAAGAATATCTGGCCCCATAAAGACTCAGTCCAAATGGATATTTTTAACATTTTAACCTGTATTTTCAGAAAATGAAAGTAAAATTATTCAAAATTTTTCTAATCTGGGAAAAAATATCTGGCATTTCTACTAGCCTCATCTAGTGACATGTAGGATATTTGGCCAATTACCTGTGAATCAGCCATTCAAGGCACTTCTGGGCTGGCTTAAGCATAAAGTAAGGGGACAGGTGAATCAGGAACAATGAAATATTCTTATTCAGCTGCTGATTTACTGCTTTAGTCTGAACACTGCGTTCCAGGCCTTTGGACATGGAACTAAACAAACTGGACTGGAACACTTCAAAGGAAGGATCAATCCCCATCAGCTCTTCTAAGCCAGTGCATCCTGTGGAAAAAAAAAAAGGAAGAATGCTTTAAATGCAACAGTTTTGCTCACCAGTCCTACCCACCTACCTCCTCACTGGCACATCCAAGGTCTTTGCTATACTGACATATGTCATCCTCACTAAGCAAACCAAGCCAAATAGTAAACAGATCTAAGACCAAAGCTTCTGCTACACTTAAAGTGTTTTTTAACTGGTGAAGAAAGAGAGCATTAACAAGTACCAGCAGTGCACTCTTGCAGCAATGAAGGCCAGCAGCATCCTGGGCTGTATTAGCTAGAGCATAGCCCACCCTGGGCTGAGGGAGGTGAACTGTCCCCTCCCTTTGTGCGACTGCATCTGGAGCACTGTGTACAATTTTGAGCTCATCAGTAAAAGAAAAATATTGACATAAGCGTGCAGTCCAGCAGAGGACCACTAAGACGGTCAGGGGACTGGAAAATGACATACGTGGAGGAACTGGGTTTGTTCAGCCTAGAGAATAGAGTCAAAAGGAAATCTTCCTGCTGCCTGCAACTACTTAATGGGATATAGCGCAAGTTATAAGGCAGATGGAGCCAGACTCTTCTCAGACATGCACAGTGGAAGGATGGGAGGCAACAAATGCAAACTGGAACCTAAGAAATTACAAGTCAATGTATGGACTGATATTTATTTTTTTTTAAACACTGTGGCAGACAAACACAGGCTCAGAGGCCAAATACTGGATCAGAGATCATGGAAACTCCATCCTCAAACTCAGCTGAACACAGGCCTGAGCATCCTGAGCTAACTACCCCTGTGCTCCATTGGGCTAGTACCAAATGAGCTGCAGAGGTCCCTTCCAGCAAAAACTATTCTATGATTTTATAGGGATGAAGCAAGCAAAGGTATCTCCTTGAATAAATTAAAATACAATATTCCATGTACACCACTAGAGAATCATGAGAATTATTTCTTTATTTTACACAGGCTTGTAAGTATTATTGGCTAAGCACAAAGCCAACAACTTCAGCTGAAATAAAGAAACCAGGCACTTGGAGGAAATGTGGAAGAAATAAATTATTATAAGCAGGAGTTCTATAGTAACTATTTAAGTAACTCAAAAATACTCTGTGCTGCATCAAGGACATACATATCTGCAAACTTGTTACTTAAAATCAATACATACTATCAATATTCGTGGTTCAGAAAACAGCTTTCTTACTTGGTAAGTATCACATATCTGGATAAAGTCCTATACAACAATGAAAAGAGATAAGCACAAAGGATTCGAAGTGTGCAAACATAGCAACGGCTTTTACCACTTAACGTTATTTGTGGCCACAATGTTACCAAAGAGCAGGGCGCCAGCATGTTTTCATGAAATCACAGAATTCAGGTTGGAAGGGACCTTGGGAGAGCTCTACTCCAAGGCCCTGCTCATAGCAGGGTTAGCCCTGAAATCGGACCAGCTTGCTCAGGGCCTTAGCCAGCTGAAGTTTTCAAAAGGATGGACATGGACAGCACAACCTCCCTGGACAACCTCTTCAACTGCTTGCCTGTCCTCATGGTTAAAAAGCTTCTCCTTACATCCAGTTTGAACTTCTATTTTTTCAACCTATGCCCATTGTTTCCTGTCCTCCAGCCATGCGTTCATTCCTCTGGGAAGCCTGACCTATCTTCTTGAGAACTCCTCACAGGTATTGGCAAACCGCTGTTTCATAGATTCATAGATTTCTAGGTTGGAAAAGACCTTAGAGATCATCGAGTCCAACCATCCCTAATCCCCATTAAACCATATCCTCAAGTAGCTCATCCACCCTATTCTTAAACACATCCAGGGATGGGGACTCAACCACCTCCCTGGGCAGCCTATTCCAGTGGCTGACAACCCCTTCAGAGAAGAAATACTTCCTAACATCCAACCTGAATCTCCCCTGACTAAGCTTATGCCCATTTCCTCTTGTTCTATCACCCGTCACTAATGTAAAGAGCCCTTCCCCTACCTCCCCACCATCTTTTCTCAAGTATTTATAGGCCGTAATCAGGTCTCCTCTCAGCCTCCTCTTTTCCAGGCTAAACAGCCCCAACTCCCTCAGCCGCTCCTCATAAGTTTTATTTTCCAGCCCCTTAACCAGTTTGGTCGCCCTTCATTGGACTCGCTCCAGGAGCTCAATATCTGTCTTAAAGCGAGGGGCCCAAACCGCTGTTAAACCCCTCAAGGCCTTCCCTTCTCCAGCCTGAACGAGAACAGATACGTTCTTCCCACCATGTGCCCCTTATAGGGCAAATTCTCCAGCCCTTGACCACCTTGGAGCCCTGACTTCCCAATCACCTTACCCTTCACGTGCCCAGAAATGTGCTCCCAAAGGACCCGCTCCATGATTTTCCCACAGTGACACTGACTACCCTGTAGTTTCTTGAATTATCCTTTTGGCCTTTTCTGAACACGGGTTTGCCTTTTACAATTTCTCTTTCTCCAGCTGTGGGGTTTTGTTTTTTTTTTCGAATAGACGCACGATTTTTAAAACCACTGGC